TTATTTTAAACATTTAAGATGTATTTAATAATAGCTATAGAAGAAGCAATCATATTTAATAAGCATAATTAAGAAGATTAAGTTTTAAATAAATGCATAATTTAGGTAAAAGAAATTATGTGATACAAACGAGCAACTAAATAATAAAAAATATAATTTTTCTTAGCTAATAATTTTTGCTTATCTCAAAATTTTTGCTTTTTCTAAAAAAATAAAAAAAAAAGCATTAACGCATTAGTGAAATGCCGTTGCTTATTGAAGCAAACAAATGTATGAATTTTTGCCCTTAAATTTTGCAAATATTACTGAAATGGAAAATTTTTTATATTATTTTGGTAGATTGAATTGAAATTTTTTAAGTAAAATTAATTCAGAAAATAAAATTTCAATATTTTGTAAGTTAAATTTAATTTTTATTCGCACTGTAATAATTTTTTCTTTTTTTGAGAAAAAATAGTCTAATTAAGCAAAATAATTAGTGAAATATGTCTTGCTATTTCTATAACTGCAAAATCATTAAGTCTTTTTTTTTAGAAAAAACCCAATGTAATTATTTTAGCGATGCAAAGATCACTGATGTGTAAAAATTATGGTGACATAAGTTTCAGAATATTCTTGAAAGCTCCGTATCATTATTTCTGAAACACATTATATCATCATAAATTATGCGAATCAGTCACGTAAAATACGTGATTAAGAGTTGTTGTTAAAATGGCCTTACTCCTACAAGGCAGGGGTATTTCTAACTCTCGCAATCCAGCCAAAACATTATACCTTTGACCTTTGCCTTTTTCTGTGAAACTGGACAGGAAGGCCATTTCGGTCAAATGTGGTGTTATCATTTTTATTCTGCATGGAAAACTCGTAATGATCACAATTACTTTTATTTTGATTTTGAAAGCTGATAGTAATTTCCTTGTAGTTACAGTACGATCATTTTCTCTATCTTTATTTTCATTATGATTACTATAATAAATACAGTTAAGTGATGTACTACTTTTTACTCATAATCATGCGTGTCAAAAATTAATTACGATTAAAAATCAAATAGACGAGGTTAAAACAGTGATGTCAGAAGTATAATTAAAACAGAGATAATTAGGTCAAAAGTTAAAACAGAGATAATTAGGTCAAAACCATATTTTTATTAAATACTCACAATCATTAATAAAATGAACATATGATTTAACTGATTACTGCATTGATAGTAGCAGTATTGGTATTAACAATAATAGTATGGCTAGCTGTTAAAATTTTCAGGGACTGATAATGTAATAATCAGTTAGACCAATATTCTAATTATTAATCATCCGTTAATCGAATGCTACGAATAAAACTTTTTCGTTCAAATATAGTTATTACAAATGATGGATTTTTCGCTATTTTAATATTTTAGTGCTATTTTAATTACTGTCATCAATAGCTTCAATCATGACTAAAATGATTGCAGTCAGTTTAAAAATTATCTGCATAAACTGAATATTTCAAATAAAGTGAAAATTTTATATTTATCTTTATTTATCGATATAATAGCATTAATAACAATATTAGTAATTAATACTAGTAATAATAATAATAATAATAATAATAATAATAATAATAATAATAAATAATGCTTAATAATTTTCCAAAATATTTAAATAAACAGTTATATGAACAAAAGCAAACGCAGAAATTATTATTTACATGATATTTGTTTACTTCAGTGCAATTCAGCTTTTTCTAAATAAAATGAAAGAAATAATCTGTACGGTCAAAAAAAGTCATAAAAATTTTTATACGAGGCTTTATTTTGACTTTACTTAAAACTGACTAAAATAAATTATTTGAAATGCAAAAACTTAGATGACAGTTTTTAGGGGATTAAGAGTAATATTTACACATCATAAAGTATTAACTTACACACATTTTTGAAATAAAAAATGGCAAAAAATTTTGCTGGAATAAAAGGTATGAATAATTTTTAAAATTAGAAATTATTATTATTATTATTA